ACAAGCCTCTGTCACTCTGCCGTGGGGCTGCCCCCACCCCTCTGACCCCTTACCACAGAGCCCCAGAAAAGCGCTCGTCAAGCCAAATGTCTTCATCTCACAGGTGCAGAGTCAGAGGCCCCAGAGAGGGAAAGTGCCGGCCGGAGGACCGCAGTCTGTTAGAATCAGGCCGGAAGCCGGGGCTCTCGACTCACCCGACCAAGAGCACTTTCCACTGCCCACCCAGCAGCTTAACCAACTCGCATTCCCAACACGCGCATCAAACCGACCAGGTGCCCAGCATTCCCCTACGCCATCTCTTACAGGTGGACATATTTAATCCCCACGACAGCCTTAAGGACATGGGTGCTCTTAGGCCCTCCATTTCACAGAGGAGGAAACCGGGACACAGACTTAGGAATTTGGCCAAGGTCACAGAGCTGATGAGGGGCAGAGGCAGGGGCCTGAACCCAGGCAGCCAGGCTTTAGATGCCTGGTCCTTAAGCACTTTGCCAGAAGGAATCACCGGCTGCCTTTAGGCAGAACAGGGAATACTGTGCTATTAACCATTTGACAAAGGAAATGAGTGTCCCTTAAGAAGCAAACTGACCACAAAAACAAAAAATTATAACAACACCAATGAAACTGGAGGTTGCAACGGAAACCTGAATGTGCTAAACGCCCCTCCAAGACTTCTGCTGGCTTCTTCTCTCGGGAGCTGACTGTTTGTGAGGGCTGGGATGAGGCAGTCACACGGTAATGTCCACAGGAGCCCACACTTTTCAGTCTGTTCACAATGCACGTGTCCCACCTCTGATGTCCCAAACCCTGAGGCTTGCACACAAAACCCACCCTCCTGCTAAGGGCTCTGGGCAGACTACTCTCCCACCACAGAATAAAATGCCTCGCTGTTGTTGTCCAGTTGCTCAGGCATCTCCGACTCTTTGCGACCTCGTGGACTGCAGCGCGCCAGGCTTCCCTGTCCTTTGTCGTCTCCTGGAGCTTGCTCAGACTCATGTCCATTGAGTCGGTGATGCCACTCAATGCAGGAAAATGCCCTGCCATTTCTTTAAAAAATAAGCCATCAGTGTTCAGCCTGCCCTTTGCGGTCTTTTCTCTGCATCCGGGGATTATGGTCAGCTCTGGCACATGATAAAGTCGGATAATCCAAAGGTGGACTGTCCAAACCCCTGCTCCTTCACTGTGTCATGAACCTGCCCACAGCCTGTTCGCAGCTCACAGGCACATCCACGCCAATGCTGGCTCCAGAAGCTACAAGCTGACAGCAGGCAATGGCGGAACCAACACACAGCTTGACTTTCAGAGGGTTCTGAAACCTCTGCCTGCTCAGCTTCTGACCCACCTCAGGGACTCAGCTGGGCCAGCTGCGGTCACCAAGCATTTGCTCTGCACCCAGACTGCACCAAGCCCAGTTATGAGACCTCCGACCGTGAGCTCCGTGGGGGTCAGATGTGGAGCAGGTTCCCACGCCCCAGGGAACCCCAGATGTCCTAAGAAGGAAAGGGGACCACGCCAAATGAAGGGTTGGAAGAGATGAGAGACATTCCCACAGCAGCAGGGAACGGAAAGCATCCTGACTTTCTGTGCCAAGGCCCTCCACCACCGCCACCAAAAATTAGGGTATGTCATGCCGCAAGCGGAGGTGACTGACTCAAATCCGGCCACTTCCACATTTGCATACTGGGTTCTGCCATTTGGCCACCATTTAACGGTCACCAAATCACACACAAGGTAAAGACCTCCCCACAAAGCAATATTTATTGTCTGTGGATCACCATTGGCTACAATCTCCTGAAATTTCACCCAACTCTGCTCTGTAAAGAGAACAGAAATGACTGCCATTATAAATCCCAATCGAACCAGCATCTCAGGACCTGCCTGTACGTTGTATGTTACAATTTTCAGAAAAATAGTGGAACAGGACAGAACCAGGGTGACCTCAGCAATCATGCCATTCTGCTTCGCACATGACAGAACCTAACTATTTATCTCACTTTAGTCTACTTATCTCAAATACACAGTTCCCTTTCCTTTAGCCAAAAAAAAAAAAAAATCCCTCTTTTAAACAATATGTGATATAAAGCAAAAAGAACAGGGAACCAAAACAAATTCTTTCCTGCAAAATTTATGGTTCCTTTTTTGTCAGCGGTTACACACATAACCACCACCCAGGTCCGCTGCTGCGTACATAACACAGGCTGCGAATTCGGAGGAACCGCACGGGTCTCTCAGCTGTGTGCCGTGTGATGGCGCGGGCTTAGCGCTGCTGACGTTCCAAAGCAAATCTGCCTTACTCAAATAATTTACTGAGATGAAGACTCAGGAAGGGAAGGCTGACAAGCATCCAACACACCGGCGGGAGAGACCCAAATGTTCCTTGTGCCAGGGTGATGCCTTGGGAGCCGAAGCTCACTGTGGGTACCCTCTGTTGTTGGCGTTCAGTCGCCAAGTCCCGTCCGACCCTCTGCGACCCCGGGGACTGCAGCACGCAGGCTTCCCTGTTCTTCACCATCTCCTGGAGTTCCCGGCACAAGGTGTTTTTACCCTTTTCCCCTGGGTCAGTAGATTTTTAACTTCAGGCTTGGGCAAATGGGTTTGCTGAATGGTCAACAGGGAGAGTCGGACCCCTTCCTGAAGGTTCCCCGGCCCAGTTGACTCCTCTGTCTCAGAGGAAAGAAGTGGTGGGTGCTGGGTATGTTTTGGAGGTGGGGGAGGGGAGTTAAGTCCAAAGATGCTTCCCCAAAATAACACTCCTTAGGGTCCTTCCCTAGGAGCTCAGCAGGTGAAGAATCCGCCTGCAATGCAGGAGATCTCAGTTTGATCCCTGGGTGGGGAAGATCCCCTGGAGGAGGGCATGGCAACCCCCTCCGGTATTCATGCCGGGAGAATCCCCCTGGACAGAGGAGCCTGGTGGGCTGCAGTCCATGGCTGAGGTCGCAGAGAGTCAGACACGACTGAGCGACCCAGCACAGCACAGGGTCACTAGCTCAAGTCAGAGTCAGTTATGACGAGGGTGCCAAGTCCCGCCTGGTTTGCAGCTTCCTTGGCTGTGGACCCTCAGTTTTGCTTTCAGAGCTGAGGGGCTGGGGTTGGGAAGAGGTCTCCAGTCCAAACAGGCTTGTCCATGTGCATCTGTCCAGCGGAGTCAGGCAGGAGAGGGTGAACCAGGAAGGATGCTTCCTTCCCCCTGAGAGTACTTCTCCGCTGTTCCGGTCAAGGCCAAGGGTCCGCCTCTCCTCCGCCACCTCCATACTCCTGGCCAGAGGTCATCCCAAAGGCGGGCGAGATTGGGACAGCCTGGCCTCAAAGGCCCACTGTGGGAGCCTTCGTCCAGTGGCTCATTCGTGTCCGACCCTTTGTGACCCCATGGACTGCAGCACGCCAGGTTTCCCTGTCCACACACGCGCACACACACACAGACACACCACCACCCTCAGGAAGTTTGGAGAGAAGGTAACTGGATTCCCGGGAGGCAGGGGGAAAGGAAGGTTTCAGTTTTCTCCTCCCAGGTATCTAGCCCGCCCCCTCGGGCAGCTGCCATTTGCATGAATGAGGGCTGCGGCGTACCTGGGACTGGACAAAGCAGGAAATAAAAGGGCTCTCCCTACTCAAAGCCAAAGTTCATCAAGCGTAACCAAAGGGCGCGCAGTCTCCCCCTGCGGAAGGCGGGAGGGGCTCTCCAGCCCCGCCCCCGACTGGCGCTTACAAAAGCACCTTGTTCGCAAGGAACCAGTTTCTCCGGTGTCTGTCTCCTGTCTCCTAGGGGCCTGTATTTATATTTTCAGTTGGCCGCTTTTCACATAATTTTGCAAAGTTTTATTATTACTTGTAGGTGGGAAGAGAAAAGATCTAAACAATGAAAAGAGAATTCCCCCTCCCACCTGAGACCCCTGGGATCCCACTGCCTCATCCTAGGCCTTTCAGTGCCCAGAGTCCTCCCAGCTCTCCCAAGGCAGGCCCAGGGCTTCGGGCAATTCTGACCCTGCCCCCGGGCAATTCTGACCCTGCCCCCAGCCCCGAGCCCCCCGCAGCAGCAACACCCCTGGGTGGGTAACTCAGATCTGCCTGGTACTTTGCTGTGCTGGGCTCAGTTCTGGCTCTCTGCCACCCCATGGACTGTAACCCACCAGGCTCCTCTGTCCAGGCAAGAATACCGGCTTTTCCTCCTCCGGGGCAAGGTGGGTAGGGGGTGGGGGTGGGGGGGAAGCTTCCTGACCCAGAGATCGAACCCAGGTGTCTTGTCTCTCCCGCACTGCAGGGGGATTCTTTACCCATTGAGCCAGCACTTTGCTAAGACTTTGCAATACGGATTCTCAACAAACTGGTTGAACGAAGAATCTGCATACTACGGGTGATCCTGCCATCTCAGCAAGGGAGATGATTTCAAGAAACGGAGGGGGCCGTGACAACTAATTTACCTCTACTCCCCATGTCTGCAGAATGCCATTCACGTGTCACAAACACTGTTATAGCAAGGTACAAGCATCTATGCATCCCCTGTTTCATTAACACCATGAAGCATGTTATTATCTCCTCATCTTACAGGTGAAAAACATGAAGCTCTGAGGTGGGTTCAGTTGCCCAAGGCTATTCCAGGTCTCACTGCCCCTCCAGGGACCACCCACACCAACTGCCTGCCCTAGGTGGTCCAAAATGGTCCTCACTGGTCCCCTCACACTGATGTGAGAGGCCGGAAAGGCCCCGGGCTTCTGCCCTTTCCCACAACTGTGATGATGAGTTCAGCTGTGCGGTCAGTTGCCTGGGTTCAAATCTTGGCTTTACCACTTAATAGCTCTGTGCCTTTAAGCAAATTACTTAATCTTTTTTTAAACAAATTACTCAATTTTTTTCCACCTGCAAAAAGGAACTCTCATATTCCCCACTCATCTGCTTACTTTGTGCATTCATCAAGATAATGTATGGGTAAAGAAGTCAATATTCTTGTGACATTTGCCATTCTCATCAACATCATTACTGCCACCCTCTTCATCACCGGCACGATGAAGATGGAGCAGAGCGCACAGCACGGTACCTGACAGCAGACAAATGATCCCATGCTCGCCTCCTTCATCCAGTGAGGCTGGCAGGGCAGGAATTGGGGTGCCCATTGTAGAGATGAGGCTTCTGAGGCTCAGAAAAAGTGACTCACCCATAGGCACACACAACTGTGTGTGCCAGGACTCATGCCCAATGTGCTCCAAACCCCGAATCCTAAGCTTCTCCCCACGCCCACGCTGCGACAGAGGGTCCAGGGAGCTCTCCCGGGGGCGGCATGGTTTTTTACGTCGCGGTGCAGGCTAAGGTGTCACCCAGTGGGTGCAGTCCTTTAGCCTCTCCAGGCCTGTTTTCTCATCAGTACCACCTGCTCCTCCTGACGCTCTGCAGAGTTGCCATGAGGATCATGAATGAGTGGCAGCTGCACAGAGCATCCGGGGCCCGTCTGTCTGTCCAAGGCGGGGAGAGGGTCTGTCCCCCTGGGAACCCTCCGAACCACAAGCAGAAAGGGAAGGCTGAGGAGCTCTCACCAAGAAGGGATCCACAGCCCAGAGTCTCGCTAAACCACGTGTGTGACATGCAGGTCAATTCAAGCCACTCAAGACCTCCAGTTCAGGCAGCCCAGTTGCCGCTGAAACCCATAGAACGGAGGCTGCAAAAGCAAACACAACTGTCTCCTGGTGGATCCTCATCCGGAAAGACACATGGTGTGAAGGGCAGGGGCAGAGCCTGCCTCCCCTGGCCAGCCAGCTGGAAGATCCGACGCAACACACCTGACCAGCATTTTCTAAATTTAGTTATACCCATCCACCAAGTATTTACAGCGAACAATACAAACACCAAAGAATAAAATAAACAGTCAAGAGAATCAGGCCAAGAGAAAAACAAGCATAAGGAAAATAATAAAAAGCCAGGGGCAAGACCAACACGTAGAAAAATACACCGTATGGCCAGTTTCTTTCTGCTGAAGTGTCAAGCCAGGTCACCCGGCTGGCCCTCAGGTGCTTAGTAACCGAAGCCAAAAGGGAACACGATCGGCCACGAGATCCCCGGTGCCCAGAGAGGAAAACAAACCAGTCATGCAGGAGAAGCACGTCTTCCCCCGTCAGATTCAGAGACTCTCGGGGGAGTGTCTCCACCAGACCTTCACAAACGGACACCAGGGGACAGAACCGAGCCTCGCCCCAGGCCCTGACAGCTCTGCTTGTGTTCCTCGCTTCACCAGCTCCTCTTGCCATTCAAGGGCGTGCTCTGCAAAGGACAGCTCAGCCCAAGAGGGGAGGTCACATCACCCTTGAGAGCCTCAGTGACAGCCTAAACTGTAAAATGGCCCATCTAGCCGACCAGGCTGTTGTGAGGGTTACACGGGATAATGTGTGATAACTCACAGACCTGACACACAGTAGGTCCTCCGCAAAGATCACGTCATCACTTCCACAAGGAGGTAAGTTCCTCCAGCATAGGGCTCGAGGTCTGAACTTGTCATCGACTTATCCCAAGTATCTATAATGGCCACTGGCACATAGTAATTACCCAGTAAACGTTTGCTGAATTAACTGATTCATTTCCTGCAGCAGGTTCCTGAAAACATTAACCTCCTGAGGTATTTCTAATAACAGAGATAAATAGATATGAGGTAAAACAAGAAAACTGGGGGAAATAAGCATTTTATAGCCCTCTCCCTCTCAAAGAGTCATAAGCACATGGAAGGTTCTTGAAAGTCTTGCAAGAAAGACATCTGTTAGATTCTGTTTAGCCCAGAGTTCTCCAAATTTTGTTGACCAGAAACCTCCTCTTTTCACCCCACAGAATGGAAATACACTCACAAGCGTTCTCATGACCCCAGGGGATTCGAGCTGATTGATCCTAAGAAGGAAAGGCAGGCAACCCCAGAGATAAGAGATGGTCCCATAACCGCCAGGGAACAAAGAGCATCCCTGGTCTCCAAGCCAACCCCTCTACCAACACCACCTGCTGACTCTGGAGCGCACGGCAATTTTAAGAATCCAATGGATCCTTCAGACCTAAGCAGCTCCCTCTTGTCTGGACACATGGACACTCTGGCTGCCCCCTGAACATTCCAGAACCCACTTGTTCAACAAGACCAACTCACAAAAAAAAAAAAAAAAAAGACCAACACCCAGCCTCCTGGCTCTGAGTCACTATCTATCAGAGAAACACCCAAATCAAAGCAAAGATATGAATCTGGAGCCAGGGAAGGGTCCTCACCGTCCCCCAACCCCCCAGGGAGGGCAGCACAGTCATAAAAAAAAAAAAAAAAAAAGACCAACTCCCAGCCTCCTGGCTCAGGGTCACCAGCCTGCAGAGAAACACCCAAATCAAAGCAAAGATATGAATCTGGAGCCAGGGAAGGGTCCTCACCGTCCCCCAACCCCCCAGGGAGGGCAGCACAGTCATGGAAGAGGGTGCAGGAGGGAGGAGGTCGGGTGTGCGTCCGGCCAGGAGTCCCCGGGGGGCAGCCTGCAGGGCGCATCACGTGTTTCCCTTTAGCTCACTAAGCCAAGAGGCCTCCTGGCCCCAGGTTTCCCTGGCTGCCACTCCCGCCGCCACGCCCGCAGGTGCCACCCAACCTCCAGCTCCCAGAGAGCCGGGCGGGCTGGAGGCCAGGTCATCTGAATGACCCTTCCCCCAAGCGAACCAGGGCTCTCCCGGGCACCCACAGGGCTCGCCAGGGAGGAGGTGATTAACGAGTGTTTACTGAGCACTTCTGGGCAGTAGAGAGCTGCTCCCAGCCGGGGATCCACCCCGGGCGGGTCCTGGCGCCCATCCACTCATTCGAGAAACAGCTGTTGAGGGCCTGGCTAGTACTGAGTACCAAGTACCAGCCCAGGCTTCTAACTGAGCCCTGGCCTCGACCTTCTGAGCTCTCTGTGCCACTGGCCTGCGGTCCTCACCCAGCGTGGACCCACACAGCCACAGTCACGGTCCTCCTACTTCCAGGTGCCCAGTGCATGGGTCTGAAAGAAGTCAAAGTGGCCAGGTGCACACGGGCCCAGAAGTATAACATCTCTCTCTTGTCATCTCCCTTCTGCCCGCTGGGGCCTGACAGCTCAAACACAAGCCTGACTCATTCTCAGAAGCCTGGTGAGCAGGTCCAGGGCTAAGCGCCGGGGACAGAAAGGTGGGTGAGATCCATGAGCTCTCTTCTTCCAAGGCCCGGCCGACACGTCTCTCCCGCTCCGCACCCCGCCCGTCCCTCGTCTGCCCGCGTGGCTCCTGCCGCCTGGAAGGTCCTCTCGACGGCTGATCGGCTGTTCCAACAGGCAGGGCAGCAGCGCCTCCTTTCCTGCACTGGCTCACGAGGTCCCTGACTTCAGTCCTCGACTACGGGGATGCCCCCCGCCTTCTCACTCCCCGGGACTCAGCAAGGGCTTGGCACAGGCCAGCCTCGAGGGGCCGTCAGCACGGTGGCTGGGAGAGCTTCCCACCAGGCCGCCGAGGTGCCAACCTTGAAAACACCACCTTGGGGCCATGGCTCCTTCAAGCAGCACCACTTAGAGCGAGGGTGTGGATCCAAACAAGCTAATTTACCAGGTTGTTAGCAGCATCCCAAACAAAGGAAAAGAGGAAAAGGGTCCGCACAGCCCTTACCCCAACTCCACGCTCCCTGTCCCACGTCCCCAAACTGCAGCAGATCTGGACTCGCGTGACCCCCAAGGCGCCACCTAAACACTCGAGGGAAACTGCTACAGCTCTCGGCGGCTTCCACTGAGCCACCCTAATCTTCCAACTGCACTTTTCTGTGCTCTCCCCTTAAGCAGATACATTTTTTAAATCTGAAAATTAGTTGATTACTACCTTCCCACGAAGAAGAAGGGCTTTCCTGACGGCTCAGATGGTAAAGAATCTGCCTGCAATGCAGGAAACATAAGAGACCTAGGTTCGATCCCTGGGACAGGAAGATCTTCTGGCGAAGAGAATGGCTACCCACTCCAGTATTCTTGTCTGGAGAATCCCATGAGCAGGAGCCTGGTGGGCTACAGCCCATGGGGTTGCAAAGACTCAGACATGACTGACAGGCTAACGCTTGCACTTTTCAAGGAGAGGAAAGCATAGTGTAGGCTCTGCAGTCTCCCGAGTCACTAGGCCTCTCCGAGTCTCAAGTGTCCACTTGACTGTTGTGACAGTGAAATGAAATAAAGTGAGAGACGGTGCCTGGCAAAGTGTCTGGCCCCGCTCTGGGCTTGAAACAGATGCTCATCGCTTCCCCTTCCCTGGTAATTCTTCAGAGTTGGGCTCCAAGGAAATAAGCACCGTGGCACAGAGGCCCGCTATGGAGTCCACTGCCCGGGTTCGGATCCCGACTCCACCGCTCCCAGCTGTGTGACCTCAGAAGAGGCACCTGACCTGTCTGCGCCACATCTGTAAAAGGAGGGGAACGACACCCCGACCCCAGAGAACTCTCGAAAGAACAGGTCTTGACACACACAGAGCACTCACTATGCGTATTTAGCTACTTCTGCTGCTGCTGCTAAGTCGCTTCAGTCGTGTCCGACTCAGTGTGGCCCCATAGATGGCAGCCCACCAGGCTCCCCGTCCCTGGGATTCTTCAGGCAAGAACACTGGAGTGGGTTGCCATTTCCATCTCCAGTGCATGAAAGTGAAAAGTGAAAGTGAAGTCGCTCAGTCGTGTCCGACTCTGTGCGACCCCACAGACCACAGCCCATCAGGCTCCCCCGTCCCTGGGATTCTCCAGGCAAAAGTACTGGAGTGGGTTGCTATTTCCTTCTCCTTAGCTCCTCTCACTAACCCCCAAATCAGACATCCTGCTTGCTCCTCACAGGTTACACAAAGTTTTCACCCACATTATCTCCCCGTGTGTCTGCTTAGTCATTTCAGTCGTGTCCGACTCCTGCAACCCCGTGGACTGCAGCCCACCAGGCTCCTCTGTCCATGGGATTCTCCAGGCAAGAAGACTGCAGTGGGTTGCCATACTCTCCTCCAGGGCATCTTCCAGACCCAGGGATTGAATCAGCGTCTCTTAAATCTCCTGTGTTGGCAGGTGAATTCTT